TAATCAGTTGTTGCTGATTTCTCATCGATTAAATTGTTATCAATTTGTTTCCTTTTTGCATCAATAATAATCATGTGAATAATAGCCAATATTCATTGAGCATGAAATATACTATTTTATATGCTATGAAATTGTGCAAATTGCTTTTTATGCTATGTTCCTTTACTAAAACCCTTACACATGTGTCATTTATTAACATATTTTTTATCTCTATTGTTAAGCTAAAGAGACCAAGTCTTAAAAGTATTCCCTTTTACCTACTTCTCAAGTTGAACAGTGACATAAATGACAGAATTGGTTTACTACTTGTACTTAAACCCTAAACATATAAAGCTCATTCCTATACCAAAAATAAATATAATATAAGAAAATGGATATTGCTGGGCAGTGGTGTTGCATACCTATAATCCCAGCACTTGGGAGCCAAAGGCAGGTGGATCTCTATAAGTTAGAAGCAGCCTTGTATATAAAGCTACACAGAGAAGCCCTGACTCAGAAAAGAAAATGGGTATTGCAGAAAGTATCAAGTCAATGCTGAAACACTCAAACTACCATTAGTTTTCAAAGGAAGTGAGGAAAGAGAGGGGCATAGGGCCAGACAGAGTTCAGGGAGGAAAGGAGAGCTAATTGGTTCCAAAAGTATTCTGAGCACTTGTAAGCAACATGCCCAAAACATAAGACTACTTTTTCCACATTATGGTCAAATCTTCACCTGTTGCTTCTCAGAAACTCCATGCCAGAAAAACATATTAGGAATGTAGTACCTCAACCCTTTCTAGTTCTGTAGGTGTTCCCAAAAAGAATAAGAAAAAATGACTATTCATTGAACCATAATCCTTGTAGCCTAAACATGAAATGAGAAGATTATATGGGAAGAATGTTCCCACGTGATGCATAGGTGTCAGGAAAGATCTAACTTCTCCCTGAGAATGAGGCTGGTAGAAATTGTTGGGGTTTGCAAATAACTACCAAATGGCTGCAGCTCTGAAGGACTCTCCCAAAGGCTATCTGGCAATTGGGGTGGGGTGGAACATGATCACTGGACAATATATCTCAGAATAACATGAACTGTGTCTATCAGCAATGATGACTGAATTATATAACTAGACACTTGCAAGTCTTCTTAAGAAGTTCACTGTAGTCTAATAACTTACTGAAATTTTGATGGTATGAAAGAACACAGAATTATCTTAGAATCTTTGCAGTCAAATGTTAAAAATTGTTCTTTATAAGCTAAAATTATGGTAACAGCAGACTGAACATCTTTCTTGGGGCTTCAGAGTGTAATATGCATCCTTACCTCTTTTAACTTCCAGAAGCTGCTCAATATTCCTTGGTCCTATCCTCTATATTTAAAGTTGCTAATATCAGGTCAAGTTCTTACCATGCTGTAATATTTCTGTGCCTCTATGCTGTCAACACACACACACATGTACATATGATATACATATATGATATGTATCAGCCCTCAATTACATACCATGTGCTTCTGAGTGTAAAACTTGCCTGTGCTGATTCTTATTTCACTAGAACTGAGCACCATGCTCAGAACATTGTGGAGAACTAATGTATGTCCTAGCGATGCATATATGAATGAAAGTCCTTCTTTTGGTAAAGAACAGTTGCACTGTTGTAATTTTGTTACTTAATTCACAGTTATATATATTTCAAAAACTGCATCTAGTGCTAAATGGGAGGCAATGAACATATACTACTTAAAATCCATTTAAGTAGATGTCAGAGGCATTTTACAATGATTTTTAAATTGGATCATTCATCAGTGGAATAAGGAACCAAAGAAAGTGAATGACTCCCCTTAAACTATATGAATTTTTACTTCTATTTCATTTCAAATCAATAATGTGAAAGTCACTTCTAAAACATTATGATTCATGAACTTCATTTACTGCTCCTTCTTTTGGTTTGATCAGATAGCCATCTTTATATAGTACTGGAATTGTTGGTATTTTATTGCATTGCCACATCTCATTATTATGTATTAAATACTATTATTTATAGCCACTACTTAATCTGATGTGAGATGGGAAAAATTATTGAAGGCTTGGCACTTCAGGAATAGACATTTTATAGGGATGAAGGAATGACTAAGAAGAGTCAATGGACCTTCAGCTGCCCCTCAGATCATTAATTCCAAGTGGTTATTTGCTCCTAGGCACTATCCTGTGCCCAGGATGTTATTGCTGTGATATGCAGATGAAGGAGAATATATTTCGAATACTTTAATGTGAACACAATGCTCATGAAAGGTGCCAGATTGAAAGCATTGAAGTTTGAAGTCATTGGGTTATGCACTCAGATGATTTCAAGGTACAGAGAGATGGTTGACCTTGAATGACCACCTAGCAAAAGAGAAAAAAACATACAGATTGCTAAACTTTAAGAGACACAGAGAGAATCAGCATGGAAATATCCCACAGTTAAGCCTTCTACTAAGAAGGAAACTTGAAACTACTAGCTAAACTTAGACATCAATCTAATTAGTATAATGCCAGGGTAAGTATGGGGTGGGCTGAGTGGGTGCTAGTGGTTTAAAAATACAGGACTACTTGGTTTCAAAGTGAAGCAAATGTCCTATTACCAGTTAATTTGAACCACTTAACAAAAAATTTTCGAGATGATTTGTTTGTACTTTTTTTCAATTTAACCAGCAATTGACTACATATGTAAACCTGACAAATTTCCTTAATTTTTGTGTTTGCATGTTTTATGGGGGCGAGTATCTGTGAGTGGGTGTATGGGCTTGTGTGCACAATTGCACAGGAAAGCCAGAGGCCAAATGTAGATGTCTTCCTGCCTTAATGACTTTTATATTGCTGTGACAAACCAACATGACCAATACAATTTATAAAACACAGTGTTTAATTTGAGGGCTCATTGTTTCAGAGAGTAAGTCTATGACCATCCTGGAAGCAGGCAATCATGCATGGAACAGCAGCTGAGATCTTCTATCTGACACACAAGCATGAGGCAATAGAATGGCCTTCTGAAACCTCAAATCCCAATCCTAATGATTCACCTCCTCCAACAAAGCCAAAACACTTAATCCTTCATAGACTGTTCTACCAACTGGAGATCAAGCATTCAAGTATATAATTCTATGGGAGCCATTCTCATGCAAACTATAACACTTCCCCAGTCACTTTTAACCTTTCTTTTTCAGACAGGATCACACACTGAACCGCCTTCAATCGTTCTGATTCAATGACAATCTATGGCCAGCAAGCCCTAAGTATCTTTTTTAAGTACTCCAGTTGGTTCAGGAGATCAAACCCAAGTCCTCACAATTAAGCTACAAAAATTTACAAAGGTACCCATCTCTCTAAATCCAACAACCCACCCCAATTTTGAACTAAAGTATTTTTGAGCAGAGAGAAAGCTGGTATTATTTGTCTCAAAGTTTTTATCATATATGAGAAAACTAAAGAGAAATAACCCAAGTATAAATGTAATATTAATATAAGATTAGGAGTAGAGTCTACGTTTTCTGGTCAACAGCAAAATTTTTTCTACTATGCCATGTTTTCTCTTGAAAGAATGAAACCTAGATACTCTTTGAAGCATCTGTCAGTGCCTATAAGTTTTGTAAGTGTGCATCTTTCAGTCTGTCGGGGATATTTCCCCTTAACTATGCTCTATTTAATCATGTTAGCTAAAAAGCTGTCTTAGTGTGAAAGATATGCTAATAACATACAATAGACACATATACATCTTCGAAATTAAGAGAATTACTTCCAAAATACTTAATATGTGAAAATTTTTACTTCTTTCCTATGGATATTTTCTTATAAATTTGTCATTTGATTTTCTGATCATAATTTTTGTTGTATAATTATCTTATCCCTTTCACACTATAATTCTCCTAAAGATAATACATAAAAGTATGGTTAAATAGAATAATGAGTAATATAACCACAATTGGCCAATATATTTTAAATTTATGTCATAGGCTTGTTATAACTAATAAATGATATATTTAATACAATATTTTCATTTTTAGTATATTTTTCAAAGTGTATTACAAATTCTAAGATTTTGGAGATTTCTGGATTTTTGTATATTTCTATATTTATGTAGTTTTAAAAGTATGAATTGATGTCAAAGACTTACCAGCTTACCACAAATTCAGATCATCTTTTCTTTTTTTTTCCACTTTGACTAACAATTCATATTTCATTAATGATATATAGCGATGCCACTGATAGGGCAGTTTTTCAAAAAAGCAGTGCTATCTGTATCCCAGTTACTAAGAAATGAATAATGACTAACATTTTAGTAAAATTAAAAACTGCAATGTATGATACAAAAATTGCCCCATTTTTAATATATTCTGACTGACTCTAAAAGCACTTACTCAGTACTCTAGTTGAATAATGGCTACATTAGTTATTTATCAGAAGAAAGGGTACAATGATTTTTCATGTTGGTTTCTTAGCAAATATTTATTGGACATGTGGATGGATAGACGATGAAAGGAATTAAAATTGAAGGGTAAACAAATTAATACAATAACACAGTCAATATTCAAAAATTCATATTTAAATATTTCACTTGTGACTTTTAAAAGAATCATACATGTTTCAGGAGGCAAATTTTGTTCTGTAGTACATATTCTGAATGGAAATATTTGTTCCCCTGATAGAAATGACGTATTTATTATAGTCCTTGGGAACTATTAAATAATTTTGCAAATATTCTCATTGGCAACTGCTATTCCCACCCACTCTACAGAGGGTCTCATTAGTCATGGAAACTCCTGGCTTTAGTGTCTGTGTATAAAAGATATCACACAATTAATTCAAACTTTTAGGACAGTTTGATCATTTTATTTTACAAATTCTCTTACAATAATGGGCTATATAAACAAGTTTATGCATAAAATGAACAAATAGATTTCAAAATTTTGAAGTATGCATTTCAGTTAAAAGACATTGAAAAAATATACCCGATTATATCAAAAATTTAAATTAGATTGAACATACCTTGTTAGATCCAGAAGATAAGTTAAGCAGAATAAAGGTCACCCTCGTAATTCCTGTAAATAAATTAGGCCAAATTATCTTTCAGATATATGTACAAACAGATCCAATGCAGTACTTCTATGAGGGAGAAGGATATATATATATATATATATATATATATATATATATATATATATATATATGCACTGAGAGCTGAGATGTTAAGTCTGGAGATGGGACTATATACACAGCATAATTTATTTTCTTATTTGCAAGGGAAGTGGGCTTCTTGTTTAAAGGTCTGCTTGAAACTTCAATTACATTAAGTGCACTGCCAATAGGAGTTTTGTTTTTATTGTTTTACTGTGTATTGCATGGAACTTTACTTGAGCATGTAGGTAAGCACTCTACTTGAGAGATACACATCTACCTGCAATTTATATCATATTCAATATGTAGTCTAATGATTGTTAGCATATGAACTTAATAATAAGTAATGTAAATTGGTACATTTATGGAAAGCAATTTGTCAATAGATGTTAAACTTTTAAAACATGCAGTTCTTTTGATATTTTTCTAAATTTTACACTTATAAAGAAAAAATAAGAATTTTCTACAGAGTTGTATATAATAATTGGCATGATAATTAACAGAAATTATAGAAAATCTAACAATTACATTCTGGTTAAACAGATAAAATTTACATGATGGGTGACTAAGTAGACCACAAGCCTGATATAGGAACAATAAAGACATGCTAATTGTTTCTGCATCTAATTTCTTCCTATGCTTCTAAAAAATGTTCTAAAGAGCTGAGAGAGGGAGGATCTATTAATTTTTCTTTACAGCTCTCTCTCTCTCTCTCTCTCTCTCTATATATATATATATATATATATATGAGTGTGTGTGTGTCTGTGTGATATTCTATTAAGATATAAAGTCTTCTCAAAATATTGGTAAATGTAAACCACACAATAAAATAATTTATAAGGCAAACAGTATAGAAAATTGTTTAAAAATACATGATTCTCATTTGTGTATATTGCATTATATGACTTTTCTGTAGTGAATATATAGTCATGTATTAAGAAATATATTTTAATTCTTTAAAATCCCCATCATATAAATGGTAGTATTGTGAAGCAAAGCAGAAGAAAATGAAAATGTCAACTTTAATCTTTAACATGTTTAGATTTTTATGATTGGCATTTAATTAATCTGTGGCACCAATTCATCAACCAACTAAATCCTAAATCTAATACTTTCACATTTGGAGAAAATTTAGAACAGTGAGAACAAGTCTGTTTTTGTTTGTTTTAACTTCATAAACTTTATTTGAAAACCTGCTTACAAATAAACCTCAAACGTCAAAATTAACCAAACCCTAAAACTATATATAAGAAAGTACTTTCATCTGGTTTACAAAGCAGTTCTGAATCTGTGCAGCCTCCAGTTGGATGGTACTTGCAGTATTCAACATATTATTTGCTCTTCTCTATCACAAAGCTGGAACCTGGAGAAATACATGACAGACTCAGAACTAGAAAAAGCAATTAACTTCATAGCTCTGTTTTTTTTTTTTTTTTTTTTTTTTTTTTTTTTTTTTTTTATTCCTGAGTGGAAGCTTACTAACACTGGACTGACAGCTGGGGAACTTGTATAGGACCGAACTAGAACCTCTGAATGTGGGTGACAATTCTGTGGCTTGTGAAATCTGTAGGGACACTGGCAATGGGACCAGTATTTATCCCTAGTTCATGAATGGGCTTTTTGGAGCTCATTCTTTATGGCAGGATACCTGTCTCAGCCTAGATAGAGAGGGGAAGGGCTTAGGCTTGCCTCAACCTGATGTGGCAGACTTTGTTGACTCCCCATGGGAGGCCTAAACTCTCTGAGGAGTACATGGGGATTGGAAAGGGAGATGTGGGGGGCAAGCAGGAGGAGGGGATGGGGGAACTGTGGTTAGCATTTAAAATGAAAAAAAAACTTTTAAATAAAAAGAGAAGAAGCATTTTTAAAATTTTATGAGTGTATCAAGACAAAAGACAATATTTAAATGCAATTTTAAACATGTAGGCTAATAACATCATTGCCACTTTTTAAAAAATTACTAAAATGACCTTGTAATGATAATAGAGTATAATATTATTACTAATGATTTCCATGTCCAATGTACTATATATAAATCACTCATAATAGACTGAAGTAGTGCTCTTGATTAGTTGCAATCTAATTGCTCGATGTGCATTTTTCAACACTGTTAATGCTACTCAAAAAAAAAGACATAGTTCTGTTCAAGTGTTGATGTGGTTCCATAATAGTGCTAAGTTGGAATCTTTCAAGGGAAGACACTTCAGCAAGTACTGACATCTAGACTACAAAAATTATCCCTGTCTCTTCTGCTGCACACACCAGAGCAAGTCTGTAGAAATTGGCTTCATACCCATAAGGCTGATTCTGCAAGGAAGCTAGTAAAAAAAATGTACTTTAAAAAATAAACTGTCCTATATGTAACATTTTGGCTTGGTGAGGTACACAGACAAATGGGAAGCAAATTGGCTTTAAAAAGATATAGTTCTTCTCTGCTCACTTCTGAATTGCTTTCCTGCTTCACCCTTTAGAAGTGTATAGCCCCATTTAAGATTATAGAAGGCCAGAGTATTGGTTGATCTATGTCTGATACCCCAGGTTACCTGCTATTGCTTTCTAACTCCCAACATGTTCCACTTCCCTTAACTTTTACAACTCTCTATTTCACCCAAGAGTTCATTTCCAAATAGAAGAAACTGTTGAATAACTTCATTTGTCAACCTCCATTTAACAAAAAGAAATTGGAATGCTTGCGAGTACTGTCAGTGGAATAAGGCAAATAATGTATACCAGAGGCAAAACAGCAGAAGCCATCAACATCAGAAAGACAGCCCACACTCCTGGAAGAGGGAATGGGGACTGTCTCTGACTCTGTCACCTGCTCTTGGGATCCTTTTCTTCTGCTGGTTTGCCCCATCTAGCCTTAATAGGAGAGAAGGTGACTAGTCTTCTTGCAACTTGATATCCTGTGGTTGGCTGATGTATTGATGTATTTGAAAGACCTGCACTTTTCTAATGGGAAGAGAGTGGGACCAGATGATGGGGAGGTTGGGGAAAATAACTGGGAGGAGAGGAGGAAAGAAGGGTAAACTTTGGTCAAGATGGAAAAAAATTAATTGATTAATTAATAAAAAATGAAAAAGACAGCCCACATAACCGACTTAAACTTTTGGAATGGGCTGCATCTTCATATCCAACTCCTATATCCAAATCTAGATATCATTAAGATATCATTTAGTCCATACTTCAGATACAGCTACTTATTACCTGTAGTTTGACCCTATGAAAGAATCATATTCTATTGCCTATATAAAGAAGTAGCTTAGTATCTCTAAATAAGTGCCAACCATGATTGGAAAGAAATTGATGGCAAGCAGATGAGGCTTTGAAAGTTTGATTCAAAATGTTAATAAAAGATATTAATATATATAGATTTACATATATGAAATAGAGCTATATGTGTATAGAATTGCTATCTTCAATGAATTTCAAAAGTATAACTTCTATAAAATTAAAACATGGTTCAATTTTCATTTCTTTTTAATAATTATTCAATTACTTAATAATTTTATCTGTTACAGATATATAAACACCATTTCTATTTTCAAGGCCCTCAGGTTCACACATAACTCACTATAGTTTCTTTTATTTATGACTGTATCTTTCCATGTTGTTTCCCATGCTTTGAAAACCCAAATGCTATATTTTTAATGAGCATTTACTCAAAGACCTTGTAGAAAATAATTGTGATAATAACAGAGACAGTTTCACTATTACAAAAATCAGTGCTCTTAGACAATTAATGCCAATCCACTTTGTATTGTCATTTTCTTCCTCTGTGTTTAAAGAACCTTTACAATTAGATTATTGGCTGTATCTTCTTTTCTTTCTGGCAATATGGGTATTTCTAATGATGAGACCTGCCAAAAGTTGTCAATGCTATTTTTCTTCTTTTCCATTAGAGGTGAGTGTAGCTGAATCACCAAGTAATCTGTAGTCTAACTTTACTTAATTATTTTTACTACATGACATGAAGAAATATAGTGAATAATCACTTCTGTTTTAAATGAAGCAAATTGTTAGTGTTTTCCACAGAAATATGATAAAGTCTTAACTTACCTAATTTTCCACTAATATTCTGTTGAAGTACTGACAGGATAAACTCAGCCCTCCCTGGTTCTCTAATAAATAAAGACTAATTACATTAGTGAATTTCAATAATTCCATTTGCCTGTGGACCTCATCGAAATAGGCAGAGAACAATTCTACCTGATTTATTTGTCTCCCTGTAGCTCCACCTCTCAAGAATGGTTTATTCTAATATGCCCTCTAAATTTAGTGCAATGTATCAATAATTATTTTGTCCATAGCTTTTATTTCTTTCTTTGTTTTTTCTAGCAACTTAACGGGTACCATAATTTGCTATGGACAAGTTCCTCTTATATCTCTAACCCGTAAGTGCAGTGTTTTAGCAAATATCATACTTCTCTTAATATTTTCTATAGCAGTAAGCTTGGGTTGTGTACAAGCCTAGATAATCATCAGCCAGGGAGCAAACCAGTAAGAAGTCTTCCTCCCTGGCTTTTGATTCTGTTCCTGTTACCTTTACCCTGCCTCCTGGTTCATATCTCAAGCTACTGCCGTAGCTTCCCTCAATGACTAAAGTAATCTGTGAGTTAAATAACTCCTTCCCCTCCAATTTTCTTTTGGTCTTGGTGACTATCCCAACAACAGGAAAGCAAACTAGGACAATTGGTCATCCATACCTCATCTTAAAACCTACCACTGATTCAATAATTTCTAATACAATAATTTCTAGATGAAGGCATTTAAGGTAGCCTCTCCTCCACCATTGCTTACATTCTTAGTTGGGGTCATCCTTGTGGATCTCTGGACATTTCCCTAGTGCCAGATTTCTCTTTAAGCCTATAATGGCTCCTTCTATTAAGA